GAGCAAGATATTGAAAACCTGTTTGAAGAAATAATGACAGAAAACTTCCCCTACCTGGTGAAAGAAATAGACTTCCAAGTCCAGGAAGTGCAGAGAACCCCAAACAAAAGGAATCCAAAGAGGACCACACCAAGACACATCATAATTAAAATGCCAAGAGCAAAAGACAAAGAGAGAATCTTAAAAGCAGCAAGAGAAAAAAAGTCAGTTACCTATAAGGGAGTACCCATACGACTGTCAGCTGATTTCTCAACAGAAACTTTGCAGGCCAGAAGGGAGTGGCAAGAAATATTCAAAGTGATGAATAGCAAGAACCTACAACCAAGATTACTTTATCCAGCAAAGCTATCATTCAGAATTGAAGGTCAGATAAAGAGCTTCACAGATAAGGAAAAGCTAAAGGAGTTCATCACCACCAAACCAGTATTATATGAAATGCTGAAAGGTATCCTTTAAGAAGAGGAAGAAGAAGAAAAAGGTAAAGATACAAATTATGAACAACAAATACACATCTATCAACAAGTGAATCTGAAAATCAAGTGAATAAATAATCTGATGAACAGAATAAACTGGTGATTATAACAGAATCAGGGGCATAGAAAGGGAGTGGACTGACTATTCTTTGGGGGGGGGGGAAAGGGGGGGGGGGGATGTGGGAAGAGACTGGACAAATTCGTGCACCTATGGATGAGGACAGTGTGGGGGGGTGAGGGCGGAGGGTGGGGTGGGAACCGGGTGGAGGGGAGCTATGGTGGGAGGGGAAAGAGGAACAACTGTAATAATCTGAACAATAAAGATTTAATTAAAAAAAAAAAAAGAAGTGAATCACCAACACTCTCAAAGACAGGCAAAAGACTGAACAGACGCTTCCAAAGAGATGATAAACAAATGGCCAGTGAGAACAAAAATGTATGTTCAACATCACTAATCATCAGAGAAATGCAAGTTAAAATCACCGTGACGTGCCACTTCTTACACAGTAGAAGGGCTAAAATTAGAAAGACAATTCCAAGTGCAGCAAGGATGTGGAGCGACCAGGACGCTCATACATTGCTGATACAAGGTTTGTGACTACATTATAATATGCTTTGAAAAACTGACCGTTTCCCATGAAGTTAAACAAACAACTAACCTATGACCCAGCACTTCTCCTAGGTAAATACTCAAGAAAACTGACAACAGGTAGTATTCACACAAAAGCTTAAATGTTCATCACAACTTTAGTATAAAAAATTGGAAACAACTCAAATGTCTAACGAGATGAGGTAGACAAATGGCCATATGCTCGCTCAGCGAACACTCAGGGAGGACAGGAAAAGCTGCTGGCTCCGTGCGGAGGAAGCCAGCCCAGCAGGGAGCACGCTCCACACCTGTTCCAGGGCGTGCCCAGGGTTGTCCATGGCAGGGCAGGGCAGAGGGAGCCTCCACCTGTTCAGCCTGGACTGGACGGGCGTGCGGTCCGGCCTGACCCGGAGCCCTGCTAGCACGGGAGCCCAAGCTATCCTGGAGGCACTGGTGACTGATGGCAGCACGCCTCCCGGCCCCGAGGCTCTCTATCCATTGCTACTCTGTACAAGGTTACACTACCCCCCACAACATCCAGTGAGAAGGGAGGAAAGCCAGTGAGCCAGCTGAGGCACCGGAAGGAATACCAGGGCCCCCAGAAGGCAGGAGGCAGTGCCACCCTCCCTCTCCCAGGGGTGTCCGCAGCCTTTCCCCCTGCCTCGCCTTCTGTCAAGGCCCGTCTCAGCTAGCTATTTCCTGCTCCCCCACTGCACCTAACTCTGGGCCATCTCCACCTCCGGCATGACCAGGAGGTGCCCGAGGGGTGTTACCAAGGCAGCTTTGGTGTCATGTTCTCCACCAGACAGCTGCTGGACCGCAGACAGTGCGCATTCAACGTCAGCCACCCTGACGGCTCCGGGCGCTTCAGGTCGGAGAGCAGAGCTGCCAAGCTCTCCCCGCAGCCTGCTGGGCAGCGGGGCTCCAGGCCGCCCCTGAGGCCGGGCCTAAAGGCGGGCTACCTGTGTTCTTCCCTCACCTCCTCCTCTGCTACCCCCCCAGCTGGGAGACACCTCTCTGGTTTTCACTGTTCAACTGTTTCTTGAGCCTTGAATTTTTCTTTCCTTCTTCTGAGTTCAGCGATCAACGTAAAACAATGTATTTGTTTTTTATCCAAAATCTATGCTTGTAGGTGACTTTATTCCACCCTTTTGCCAAAACTGCAGGGAATCACACCAGTGAGTTACACCAGTGAGTTACACCAGTCAGTGAGTTACACCAGTGAGTTACGCCAGTGAATCAGTGAGTTACACCAGTCAGTGAGTTACACCAGTCAGTGAGTTACACCAGTCAGTGAGTTACACCAGTCAGTGAGTTACACCAGTCAGTGAGTTACACCAGTCAGTGAGTTACACCAGTCAGTGAGTTACACCAGTCAGTGAGTTACACCAGTCAGTGAGTTACACCAGTCAGTGAGTTACACCAGTCAGTGAGTTACACCAGTCAGTGAGTTACACCAGTCAGTGAGTTACACCAGTCAGTGAGTTACACCAGTCAGTGAGTTACACCAGTCAGTGAGTTACACCAGTCAGTGAGTTACACCAGTCAGTGAGTTACACCAGTCAGTGAGTTACACCAGTCAGTGAGTTACACCAGTCAGTGAGTTACACCAGTCAGTGAGTTACACCAGTCAGTGAGTTACACCAGTCAGTGAGTTACACCAGTCAGTGAGTTACACCAGTCAGTGAGTTACACCAGTCAGTGAGTTACACCAGTCAGTGAGTTACACCAGTCAGTGAGTTACACCAGTCAGTGAGTTACACCAGTCAGTGAGTTACACCAGTCAGTGAGTTACACCAGTCAGTGAGTTACACCAGTCAGTGAGTTACACCAGTCAGTGAGTTACACCAGTCAGTGAGTTACACCAGTCAGTGAGTTACACCAGTCAGTGAGTTACACCAGTCAGTGAGTTACACCAGTCAGTGAGTTACACCAGTCAGTGAGTTACACCAGTCAGTGAGTTACACCAGTCAGTGAGTTACACCAGTCAGTGAGTTACACCAGTCAGTGAGTTACACCAGTCAGTGAGTTACACCAGTCAGTGAGTTACACCAGTCAGTGAGTTACACCAGTCAGTGAGTTACACCAGTCAGTGAGTTACACCAGTCAGTGAGTTACACCAGTCAGTGAGTTACACCAGTCAGTGAGTTACACCAGTCAGTGAGTTACACCAGTCAGTGAGTTACACCAGTCAGTGAGTTACACCAGTCAGTGAGTTACACCAGTCAGTGAGTTACACCAGTCAGTGAGTTACACCAGTCAGTGAGTTACACCAGTCAGTGAGTTACACCAGTGAGTTACACCAGAAGAAGGGGAGGATGAGGGGGAGGGGCAGGAGAGGGGTGCTTACCCAGCACGCGGCGGTTGAAGTAGTCGGGGAGCATGCGCTCGCACACCGCGACCAGCAGCCAGAAGGCGTCCTCCTCGGTGGCGTAGAGCAGCAGCACGGAGGCCAGGATGTTCATGGACTGCGGGCCACAGGGGGTGTTACTGAGCGGACCAAATGGGCCTCAGACATTAAAGCGCACATGTCCAAACGCCCTACGACTCAGCATCAGGGCGCCCACCCCCCATGCCTGGCGGTGGGATGACTGCGTGTCTGTCAGTGTGGTCAGCCCGCCGTC